ATCCAAAAAAAAAAAAAAAACACAAGCATGTTGCGGTACCAAAATTTTAGTATTGCACTTTATAACAAAAGTGCACAACGTGTTGCACCTTATAAAATAACACGCCACACCTACAAAACTTACAATAATTATGATAATAGATCGAGTAATTGAATTAATTTATTATTTAATATTATAAATAAATAAATTATATTATAATAATAATAAATAAAAAATTATATTAATTATGTAGTTTAATTCAATGTACAATATGTATATTAAATTAGTTTTCCAATGCATATAATTTATATAAAAATATATAAAGTATTGCACTTTATATAGCAGGTTGTTGCACTTTATAAAACAAAACGTTGTACCTTATAAAACATCACGTTACACTTATTGATTTTATTTTATTATTTAATGTTATAAATAAATAAATTATATTATAAAATAATAAATAAAAAACTTATATTAATTATGTAGTTTAATTCGATGTACAAATATGTATATTAAATTAATTTTTGAACACACATAGTTTATACAAAAACATATAAATTATTGCACTTTATATAACAGAATGTTGCGCTTTATAAAACAACACGTTGCACCTTATAAAACATTGTTGACGAGCGTTTTCGGTCAACGGTTAAAAATAAAGAATGTTGAAAGCAAGACTGAAAAGGGGGAGAACGGTTCGGTTTAATTACGATTTTATTAGACGATCACGAGGTCGGCCTCTCGTACGAGGTCGGCACCTGCGATATACTTGCAATTCTTACAGTGAGTTTCTTACAATTTTTAGAGAGAGAAAATAGAGAGAAGGCAGAGTTAGTTCAATTTCAACAACCCAAAATAAAATGAAATGAGCTGCTATTTATAGTTGTTTTTAATGTGGCACTATTCGGCTACTGTTCACCGGTCTTGTCGCACAGTAATCTTGCAGAGCAGTTCGGCGTCTCCCTGACGTCTATTTAATGCGATTTGAGGTTTCTGCAATCATTAGCTGTCAGGCATTTAATGCAAGCATGGGGGCATTTAATGGTGGCAGGTTTTCTTGTCTAGGCTTGCTTGTAGAGCGACAGGCTATGAATGCCCGTCCCATCGCCCAATGATGACCTTCCAAGTGGGAATATTTTAATATTCACCGTGCCTCGCCTTGGCCCTCGGAGTGGCCGCTCTGCGCCTTCAGGTCGGCACCTTCCTCGAATATGCTTGCAAAACATCCCTAATCCATTCTCCAGTCCGGCACCCATCCACCCCGGCTCTTTCGTTCACGAGCCGGGGTGCCGTCCTCAAAAAGCGCTCCCATCGAGATCCTGAACATTTCGCTCCCCGGTTCAGCTCGGCACTTCATCCTTAGACCGGATCCCAAGCTCGGGTTTCGGTAGGCAACGTCTCCTCGGTTCATTCCTGGCTGACTCGGATATCAACAAACATCATGTTGCACTTTATTATCACACTCCACAATTAATTAGGATCAACAAGTCCCACCAAAATATTACGCAATATAAATTTATAAACATATCTACATAATACTTTAATATTCATCACATTATCTATACACACAAAAAAAGAAAAAAAAAACACAAGCATGCTAACTTATTAAAAATTCAGTATTGCACTTTATGTATTCATACGTTGCACTTTATATAGTATTACATTGCACCTTATAACACGACATGTTGCACCTTATAAAATAACACGACGTACCTACCAAAATTATTGTAATGATGGTAATTGATCGAATAATATTAGATGGTCAAAGTTCGGATTTATTTTTATTTAAATAAACAAAATAACCGAATATCCCGAACTATATAAAAAATATTACCTATTTTTTATTTATATTGTTTTATGAAAATCAATAATATTTTGATATCTCTAACTTTTATTTGTTGCGATTGCACATTATGATTATACGGATTGCACATGAATGTCTACCAAATTGCACAAAATCGAATGAGATCCTACGAACAAAAATTTAATACAAATTTTAATATTTTGGTTCAATTATTATTATTATTCTTATTATTATTATTATTATTATTCTTATTATTATTATTGTTATTATTATTATTATTATTATTTTATAAGTCGGTTATTTCGATATGATGTCATTTTCTATTCAAATAAAAAATAAAAAACAAACTATATTAACTAGTATAATTTGTAATTAAAATAAACATACAAAAAATCTGACCAAAGTGAGAAATAGTAAAATTTTTGTAATTTGCAATTAAGTCCCCAAGAGATGTCTAATTTCTAAAACCTAGCCCCCCAAATTAAAAAAACCCCAAATTCCAAAATCAGTTCATCAACATTAGAAACTTCAACAGTACACACAGCAGCTGCTCACATCCGTTTCCGTGGTACGTGCTGATGGCCATATGGTCGATACTGTCGGCGGAATCGAGGTGTGACCCAGATTTTCTCGGCCACCTCACGATGGGTCGGCTGCCTGAAATGACGAGATGGCTTCAGCAGTGGAATGTGGTGGCGACGGGATAGGCCGGGCTGCAGCGGCGACTGGACGTGTAGGGCTGTGGAGGCGACGGGCTGGCAGGCTGCTACTTCTGGCGGAGGTCCGACGAAGGTCGGTGTCAGCGTCGAATGGCTCTGCAGGGGTCGGCAGCAGGTAGCAACTTGCGGCAGAACTCGACAATTGGTGGCGGCACTCGGCGGCGGGCGGGCGGCGGATGGCTGCTACGAAGGTGTGGCCGATCTGGACCTGCGCGACGGCCGAGTGGTGACGGTTGTTGGGGATGGTGGCGACTGCATCGGTCGACCTGTTGCCGGCAGCGGGCGGAAGACGGTGGCTGGAGGTGGTGGTACAGATTTTGTGTGTGTGTGTGTTCTGTGCGTGT